CCTTTCTCCCTAAGCTGCTCTTCGTCAGTTATTTTAGCAACAGAAATGGAAGGAGGCAGGGCACTAACTCTACTGGTGGATTAGGCACTGAGGAGTTCCTGCTGAATGCTCCTGTGGTGAGGCCTGACGGTCAGAAGCAGGCCTTGAAGGACATCTCTTCTCTTCTCTGCTTCCCAGCTGCCGTGAGATGAGCAGCCTCCACAGCTATCTGGCCCCACCAGCTGCCTTGTGTCTGTTACAAATCAACGCAATGAGACAAAGTACAGATGGAACCCTCTGAAACCATGATGAACTTCCCCCTTTCTACTGATTCTCTCAGGTATTTTACCACAGTTGTGGAAAGCCGGTCAACACCCCTTTGCTGGCAGAGAGAGAACTGATTTGGGGGGAGTGACTTCTTGTGGTTCTGAAACCTGAGTGGGGGTTCCTTTATAGCTGTTGACTACACCCTTTTCATATACCCACTCCCTCAGGCTGTAGCATGGAGATTGGCTGGCTGTCTCCTGCAAGGCAATGGTCCAGATGAGGTGCTTAGGCCCAATGGCTAGGGCAACAATCCAGACACTGGGTGATTGGGGGCACAGAAGTGTCCAGAGAAGGTGAGCTTGGGTAAGGCACCCCTGGCCATAGAAACCATGGCTTTCAGCCCACCAACTCCCCCCCCCCCCCAACCCACTCCATGCTTCTAAGCACCTACAGGTCATTTGTACTGCTCCCTAAAAGGTCTAAGTTATGTGTCTCCGTGTCCCCTTAGCACTGAAAACACACAGGCTCCTGTTAATGGCTCTGTCTAAGGCTCCCGAAGTTAACGCAGAGAGGAAAGTCTTTCTTCTGTCCTCTTTAAGTCCAGGAGAAGCTGGCCAGCTCTCAGCATGGAAGCTGAAGGTTCTACTCCCTCCTTGAGCATGCCAGGACTCTGCTGTGGTGATGGCAGTGACAACCACAGCCCAGCTCACTCAGAGCACTTCTTTTGTGGTCATCAGAAGTCAATCACTCCACTTTTCCGTAGTTAGGATACCCTGCCTAGGAAATGGTGCCATCAAGGGTAGGCTGTGTCTTCCCACAGCATTTAACTTACTAAGACAATTCTCCACAGACATGCTACAGGCCAGCTCAGCATAGACACTCCCTCATTGAGACTCTTTTCCAGGTCATTCTGGGTTGTGTCAAGTTGACAAAGCAACCATCCTCCTCATGATGGTGGTGATGGTCAGGCTGGCTTTGCACATCTTCCTCATCCACACTGAGAAGCCACATTTCTTCTGTGCAGCTCTCCAGAGCCCAGGCTGACATGACTCCAGGGGTGTCCATCTGCCCAGACAGTTGTCCTGTGACTCCTACTGCTGGGGTTCCAGCAGAGCTTGGAGAAGCAGTTGTACCCTTATGTGGTGGTATTGTGTTCCCCAAAATATTGTGTACCTTAATAAACTTATCTGGGGTCAGAGAACAGAAAAGCCACAAGATACTTAGGCTAGAAAATGTTAGCACACGCCTTTAATCCTAGCATACCAGAGACAGAAATCCCTCTGGATATCTGTGAGTTCAAGGCCGCATTGGAAACAGCCAGGCATGGTGACTCACACCTTTAATCCCAGAAAGCAGCCTTTAATCCCAGGGAGTGATGGTAGAAAGCAGAAAGGTTTATAAGGCGTGAGGACCAGAAACTAGAGGCATTTGCCTGGTTAAGCATTTGGCTGGTTAAGCATTCAGGCTTTCTAGCAGCAGTTCAGCTGAGAGCCATTGGGATGAGGACACAGAAGCTTCCAGTCTGAGGAAACAAGACCAACTGAGGAATTGGCAAGGTGAGATAGCTGTGGCTTGTTCTGTCTCTCTGATCATCCAGTGTTCACCCCAATAACTGGCTTCAGGTTTGATTTTATTAATGAGAACTTTTAAGACTCATGCTACATCTGGCGCCCAATGTTCATGGTACGAATTCATGAAAAAGGTGCTTGTGGGCCCCAGCTCAGGCCCAAGCTACACTTGGCCGGTAGGAGGATCCCGAGTTTGAGGCCTGCCTAGGAGGTTTGCTAAGGAAAAGCTTCGGCCTGGGACCCAGTGACAAATGGTAGTGGGACTATGGAGGCAGTGACTGCTGCTCCACGTTGCTGGCTACTTCTCATCATGTTGGTGACTGCGGTGATGCTGCTACCTGGGAAGAAGGGTTTACTACTGCTTGTTCAGAGAAGAATTGCCAGGACCATCATGTTACAAGAAAGCATCAACAAAGGTCAGTTTGGAAAAGTTTGGCAAGACAAATGGTGGGGAGAAATTGTTGTGAAGATTTTCTCTTCTAGGGAAGAATGTTCATGGTTCCAAGAGACAGACATTTATCAGACTGTGATTGCTCCAAACCACAGAGGAGGCAAAAAAAAAAAAAAAAAAAAAAAAAAAAAAAAAAAAAAAAAAAAAAAGTCTGCAGGGAACCATGACTACGCCTAACAGCAACTTTGAAATCTTCAAAAAGAAGACAGGACTCCACAAAGATGATTCCACATGGACTATGATAAAGCCATTAAGCTGGTTAACACCAAGGAAAGATCTACGTTGGACTACAAACTGGTCAGGACAATTTCGAGATTACTAGCTGAGATGATCCAGCCTGACAGACTACTCAAACAAGAACTTGTGACAAGCCCTAAATTTCCTGTTATACAGAGACTGGACAAATGATATAGGACTTCACAATTAACTCAAAAATTTTCTTTTCAAGATTCCCTAAAGATATCTTCACCCCAAGAAAGCAAAAAGAAAAAGAGAATAAGATATGAGATAGATCATTGAATCTACTCAGAGAAAAAAGATAAAGAATAAATAGGTAGATCACTGAATCTACACTGAAGAAAAAGGGGAAGATATAAAAATGACAAAAGGTAGACTACTGAATCTATTATGAAAAGAAAAAAGAGAGAATATGGATATGATAAGATAAAAAGGGAGATTATGGAATCTACTTTTAAAAAGGAGCTACTTGTTTTAAATAAGATAAGTAATGAAAAAATTTTGGTCTGAGTTTATCAGATGTTACTGGACTGGACATTGTTAATATATATAATGGAGTTTTTATCTGAATCTGTCAAATGTTAATGGACTAGACATCATTAATGTAATTTTTGGCTGTATATATTGTATATACTTATTGGATAGTTTTTTTTGTATTAGTTATAAGCCTTTTTTAATTTTAGACAAAAAGAGAGGAAATGTGGTGGTATTGTGTTCCCCAAAATATTGTGTATCCTAATAAACTTATCTGGGGTCAGAGAACAGAAAAGCCACAAGATACTTAGGCTAGAAAATATTAGCACACACCTTTAATCCTAGCATACCAGAGACAGAAATCCCTCTGGATATCTGTGAGTTCAAGGCCGCATTGGAAACAGCCAGGCATGGTGACTCACACCTTTAATCCCAGAAAGCAGCCTTTAATCCCAGGGAGTGGTGGTAGAAAGCAGAAAGGTTTATAAGGCGTGAGGACCAGAAACTAGAGGCATTTGCCTGGTTAAGCATTTGGCTGGTTAAGCATTCAGGCTTTCTAGCAGTTCAGCTGAGAGCCATTGGGATGAGGACACAGAAGCTTCCAGTCTGAGGAAACAAGACCAACTGAGGAATTGGCAAGGTGAGATAGCTGTGGCTTGTTCTGTCTCTCTGATCATCCAGTGTTCACCCCAATAACTGGCTTCAGGTTTGATTTTATTAATAAGAACTTTTAAGACTCATGCTACACCCTTAAGTCCTTTGGCCCTGGGGAAAGCAGAGCCTTTGGCTCACCCCTGGAAGCCTCAACACTGGGCATGCCATCCAGGCCCTCGGACTGCAGTTGGTCCCCAGCTGGGTCCCTAGCCCTGTAGCTGCCTTTGTGCCCACACAAGGGAGACTCAGTTCCCCTGCTGCTCTGTGACCCTGCTTCCTGTGTCTACACGGGCACAGCTCCCTGGCATGAGGAAGGGGGAGTGATGGTGCCAGCTGCCCCGGAGAAGGAGCCAGACCACCTCGGTGACCCCTGCCTCCTCTGGGGTGTCACTGGGGGAAGCTGGTGAGAGCTGCCTACTGCAAGCAATTAAGTGAACTAATGACCCATGAAGGCTCCTGCCCTCCAGCCTGGCCATGCCTCTCCCTGCTCAGAAGCCCACAGCTTCTCACTCATTTGGCCACTGCCCACAATGACTATTAATTGTCAAGCAAGGTTTCTCATATAGGGTTGGGACTTAGGAGCTGGCTTTGACTTTTCAGGTCCACCTAGGGCTATGTATACAGTAGGTAGTTAACATTTGCATGGCCATCAGACCCAGAAACAGGACACCTTCTTTCCAAGGCAGAAGAGACCTGGAGTCTTAGGATGCCTAGGCTGGAGTTGCCATGGACTTAGGACGTCCCAATGCATGCATTCTCAAAGCTACAGTCAGGCTCTTGCCTCATCACCCTTCAGAGAAGGCGGAGGAAACCCTGTCCCTACTCGCTGGGCTAGCCCTGATCTCTCACAGTCACACTGGGATGGACTGTGTTGGAAGACAAAGGGAAGCAGGCGGTTTTCGTCTAAACTGGAGAAAGCATACCCCCAGACACCATGAGGCCGGCTTCCCCTGCAGCCCAGGTGTGGTTTACAGACTCTGAACCCTGGCTGGGCTCCTGGGAGTCATAAGTGGTTTCCAAACCAGGCCCTTTGTGGCCTAGTGTTTCTCTGGTAGGAACTGGGAAGATGCAGGTTCAGAGCTGAGGAAAGCCATGCCCACCCTAATATAACAGAGCCTCTCAGAAGCCATCCCACAATCTGTGGAGACACTGGGAAAACCAAAGCAGCTGGCCAACAGTCCTAGGCCTGAGGGCTGCTGTCCTCTGCCCCAGACTCCAGGGCTCTGGGCTGCAAAACCAGTTCAACTAGCCATCTCAAGACCAGATGAGAGACTAAGGGCTGCTGGGAGCAATTCCGCACCTCTGCCTCTGCCAGGCTCCAGGCGGGTTATCAGACAGAGGAGTAGGAAAAACATGAGCAGAGGCAAGGGTATGTTGTGGTCATATTTATTTCAACTTCAAGTGAACTGGAGGGCTGTGAGGCTCTTCCTGCTTCACAGCATGGAGCCTCTAACGGCCAGTCACATCTACCAAGGCATGGGCTGGCTGGGCACCCCAGTGAGCCCCAGCTGGAGCAAGGGCCTGGATCAGGAAGTGCACTCACCACAGAGGTGACCTGAGGTGGTTCTAAAGACCAGGTGGGGGACAAGGGACAGTGAGTTTGCAGAAGCCGACTTAGGAGGTCTGTGACAGCCTTCACCAGATCCCACCAAACGCTAAGCTGTCTTCTAAGAGAAGAATGGCCACTCCCATCACCACGGGTTACAGAAGGAAAAGCCAAACTCATCTCAAGATCTAATCTCTCAAATGCTTAAAACCAGTCAGCCAGTGCAAATGAGGTAAGGAACCCATGTCACCAGGTGGGAAGGAGCGCTCACATGAGCCTGCGTCTCTCACACGAGCTGCGTCTCTCACACCAGCCTGCGTCTCTCACACGAGCCTGCGTCTCTTGGAGTCACGTCCCACATCATCACCCTGCTGGGCGTCCACCTCACAGTCCAGTGGGGAAACCAGGTTCAGCAGCGGGTCCTCGGAGGCACGGCCAAAAAGTGCCAATAGGAGGGCCACACCAAAGCCCGTGGCTCGCTCGCCCTGTGGACAGAGAAGGTGGAAATCTTAGGCCAGGGGGCACCTTAAGGCCTCCCATATCCCTCTTTTCCACACGGAGGGCCTAGGACACGAGGCTGTGTCTTTGGCCTTCCTGAAGATGTCCTGACATGCTAGGGCCAACAGAGGAAACCAGGTGGTTAATGCCACAGCTCCGAGTGGAGAGGCCCTGGCGAGGCTGGCTGGGGGGTGACTGCACCAGAGCAGATACTCTGTTCCTGGTGGGGAAGAGACCAGAGGTCAGGGAGACCACAGCTGGCTGGAGGCTGGGCCACAGACAATCTGACACACAACACAGAATCTTTCTGATGATCTCAGAAGCAGCTCTGAGCCAGAAGGGCTCTGTAGGGACAGGACAGGAGGGAGGGAGGAGCCCAGGCTGTAAGGAGGAGACACAATGTGTCTGGCAGGAGTAGGTGTATCGCTTGGCCTTGAGAAGCATCCCTGAGGCACTTACAGCATGCACTGGAGCTGCGATATCCAGATGGACCCAGACCCCAGGCCAGTCAAATCCGATGTGTGAAGCAATGAAGAGGCCAGCGCAGGAGCTGGGGCTGTTGTCTCGGTCCTGAGGACAAGAGGGTGACATCCTGTTCCCAGGAGTGGGAAGAGTCTACCCTTATCCCTCAGCCATAAGCACAGAGGTACCTGCTGACCCAGATGACTGAGGAGGGCTCTGACCTAGAACAAGGCGTCTACCTCCCCCAGGACAAGGGAGGACCACAAAGAACCTGAAGGGGCAACTAAGTCAGACTCCAGTGTAGTCTGTTCATTGAGCATGTTCAGTGAGTGTGTCCTGAATAAAGCCACACCTCACCTCTGCACTGCTCTTGGTGCCTGGGGATACTGGTCTTCTGGCTCACAGACTCCCCAGGGGCACAGCTCTGCACATCAGTGCAGGCAGGCCCCATACCTACCGCCACTGAGTTCTTCATGTCAGCCACAGCTGAGGTGAACTCGCTGAAGTGCAGCTCAGGACAGTAGACCAGAGGGTGGACCAGGTCTCCGCACTTCCGGCCAGCCTTCACGCAGGCCACCTCCCACTCGGCACTGTTGGTGAGCACGGCTGCATGGTACTTCCCTGTGGCAATGCCCTAGACAAAGGACACAAGAGAAGCAACCATACCAGGGGGAACAGAAGAGAGACACAAAAGGCAAAAGTGGAGCAGTAGACAGACAGACAGACAGACAGACCAAGGGAGAGGCAGAAAGGAGGGCAGAGAAAGGAACCATGAACAACAAGCAGGCAGAGCACATCCTGGTTCAACAGCATGAGGGTACGCTTCGTCGCCTCCAAATGACAGTTGCTCCATTCTCACCTGCCAAGAGGGGTCCAGGCTAATGGGGGCGTAAGGTGTGACATGTGACACTCACCTGTGCTCCAGTCAATGTGGCCATGTCCACGATGATGTCAGCTCCCAGGTCTTTGCAAGCATAGGACACTCCATCGGCTAGCACCAGCCTGCCCTCGGCATCTGTGTTGTTTATCTCTACGGTCCTGGGCGGGACACAGATCCTGGTTCAGAAACGCAGCTCTCCAGAGTGCTGAGTGACCCCTTTGCTACTGTAGCTCTTCCATCTCCAAGACATGTGCCCTCCCCAGGAGTGTGGCAGGTGGGAGGCAGGGTGGGCTTCTCGCGCACCCTGGGTTATGCTCAAACTGACCTAGCCTGGCTCTGGGAGGAAGCCAACAGTCTAAACAACAGTTCCAGAGCTGAGAGAGGGCTGTCCTTACTTTCCTGAGTACAGAAGGTGAATGTCATCAGGCCTGGTGGCATTGGGGCCCACAGCATTCTCAGCCAAGCAGAACACAGCATGGAGGTTATCTCTGAAACCCTGAGAGGAGAAGCAGGTGAGAGGTCCCATGGTATACCGACCAGAAGCCCTGGAAGGGGAGAGCCAGGTGCTCTCAGACCTGCAGACAGCAGGAGACAGACTGGGGACCTCAGGAGCAGGAAGTGGAGCTCAGGTCTGAAGATGCAATTTGGGAAATCCCTGCTAGAAGGGGCAAAGCCCTCCAGAGTGCAGACCACGCAGCAGACTTTACTACACAGCACGTGAAAACCTTGAATTTGAGGCAATCTTCTTGCCTCAGCCTCCTGACCGTCATTCTTACCCCATACAATTGCTACTGAGGACTGGCAGATGACTTCAGTTCCTCAGTTTGCAGTGGGCACCCTCCCTCCCCCATGGCGAGAACCAGGCTTTCCACCGCTGTGTTCCTTCAGTGAGACCCTCCATTGTGGCTGTGGGGCCTTGGCATCCTGTGGGTCAAGTCACTGCCGTTGCTGTTCATTCTGGGACTCTCACTGAGGCACATTCCTCTTCAAGAGGGCGGAGGGGAAGGTCAGTGCCAAGTGGACATGTGTGTTAACCAGAGAGGGCAGGGGCTCGTGTGAATGTGTGGGGGATACTTCCACACGGGGGAGAGGTCCTCTCAGCACCCGCAAGTCACTGGCTGTAGCTTCCTGTAGGTCCAGTACCCCTCATGCCCATCAGTGAGTACCGCAGCATCGGCTGGGGCAAAGTCCAGAACAACCATTGTTGAGCATTTCCTTTCTAGCGTGTCTTTGGTACAAACCAACAAACAGGACTTCTCCAAACAGGTCCAGCCATGGCTGCTTCCTTCAGAGAACCTTTGGCAAGCTCCCTAAACTAGCTTCTTACTGAACAACCCCTGATAAGGTCCATGGCCAGGGAAGTGAAGTCCTGGAGAGAGGAGAGTCAAACGGAGTCTAAAGGAGAAAAACCAGAACTCTCGTCCTCACCTGCTTGATGGCGGCTCTGAAGGCTCCCAGGACGGCTGCGGCACCCCCACAATCTCGCTTCATCCCTGGCATGGTGGTCTATGGTGACATGAAAGGACCAGAAGAGAGGGTATGAGTCACAGGAGCACGGACACAGCTGGCAGCAGACTCTCAGGCTCCAACCTGCATGGCATATCAGGGCTCTCTGAACACCCCTAGAACCACGAAACTGACCACCCAAAGGGGGTGTTCTACCAAAGCAAGAAGAAGTAATGTTCAGAAATGGTGGTGATAGATGTTTTATTTCTGTGGAGTTTTAGAGCTTTCAAGCAATAGATAATATGATAGAGGGAGACCAAGAGCTGTCCATTGGCCAGATTCACCATGACCGAGTTCAGAAGCATGGACTCCATGCCAGCTTGGAAGCCTACACTCGGGGCCTCTGCCTTCTTCTCCACCCAAACACCATAGAAACTGAGACTCACAAGGAGTCACCCAGCCAGCACCTCAAGAGGCTTGGCCAGGCTTCCCAGTGGCAATCAGAACTATGGGTCCCACCTCGGATGTGAGGCCCTGGAGGTGATGTGTTTGCCGATATGCCATTTGCCTGTGTTCCCCACTTACCACAGGTTCCTGTTGTGTCTACTCTGAAGAGGGATACAGGGTAACCCCAGGCTCATGCCTATCCCATCCTCCCTGAGCATAGGCTGGCAGCCATCCTGTGAGTGGCTCTGGCTTCTAGGAGTTGAGTCAGAGTGTGCTGATTGCCTTGCCCTTGGCCCCTCCATCTCCAGTCACAGTGAGGGTACAGCCTACATAACGTCCTGCTCACTTGTCCTCTAAGCGCGTGCCCTGGAGCCCAGCCCCTTCTGCCATAGACACTCCCACTCACCCTGGCCTGCTCCCATCTGCTCCTCCAGGCAACCCTTGAAGCCACCCTCACTCACCTCCATTGGCCCACCCCTGGAGCTTTCCCGGGGAGGCCCAGGTCTAGGCCAGTTCTTCTCCTTGCACACCTTGGTCACCTCTTATGCCATTGCCATCCAACCATCAGTAGGGGGTCTCTCCACCCTACTGTGTTCAGTTCCCTGCTGGGTCTAAGCTGTAGCCCCTGCCACCAATGTCAATGTCGCCTCCTATGAACTATTTATGTCGTTACACATGTTTATGTTGTATAGGCTTCCAACTCAAACTGACAAGTTCATATTTTAAATAAAAACAGGTCCTCAGAAGTAAGAATCTTGGCTTGAAAGGTAGGGTTTTTGGAGTCCTTATTGTATTCCATGAGGTCTGGATTTTAGCTGGAAGTATTTTTGGACATAAACTATGCTGCTTTCATAAGTACATCAAATGAAAAGGACCCATCTTGCATGACTGAGAAGAAGCCATCTTTCTGACCTAATCAGTAACAAAGCACAGGCCTGTCGAAATGAAGAAATGGCCCTACAGGCCTGGCAGTAAACCATTTCAAAGTGACCCACCCAGAAAATGTCTATGATAGCTGTTCATGGAACATGGTGTGCCCCTGCACAGGTGTTACCTCCTAAGCAGAGTGCCAAGCTCGCAGATAAAGCTCGGCTGCTCACATGAGGTCTCCTGACTCATCTGTGTCACCTCTGTCATTATAAAGGAAAAGGTTCTCAATGCTAAGGTGCCATCTGCCCTAGTCACTTTGACACATGCACAGAAGCCATGGCTGGTGGAAATGCCAGAGCCCTAGTCCAACAGAGGCTATGGCCTGGCAGTGAACTAGGACTGACCAGCTTCCTCTTCATGCACTCCAGGAAAACCAAGTCATGGCGACCTCACTTGCAGAAGCCCCTCCATGAATCAGTAATGCTAAGTTTGGAAACTCTCCTGGGGCTGGAGAGATGGCTCAGAGGCTAAGAACACTTGCTGAGTAGACAGAGCTCAGTTCCCAGCACCCGTGTGGTGTCAGAACCATTCACAGGCTTGTGTGTGGTGCACAGACATGCAGGGAAAACACTCAGATACATAAGATAAATCTCTAAAAAAGGTAAAAAGTCTCACCTGCGGGTGAGTCGCTATCGCTAGTGCATGATGGCATGCCTCTGCGGCCTCTTCCCGGTCAGTGAGAGCACAGGGCGGCCACGAGAGTGGGAGAGCAAGGGGCAGCATCACCCCCGGCTTTAACATGAGCTCTCCCGCACAAGGCAGAACTTGGAGAAACCTGTGTCTGCCACTTGACAGCCTCCCCCGGCTCAAGGACGTCTCTGATAAGCTGATGGTGACGTCAAGGAATATGAGGTTTCTGGTAGAAGGAAGTCCACAAAAAGGCACTGCTTCTGCACAGCTCTGTGTGCTGACAGCCTCCAAAGATCTACCCATCACGTACAAGACAGACATCTGAAGCTCAAGACAGCTCACTTACTGCTTTGGGCCCCATAGCAGAACAATCATTCACAAATACCACTTGTCAAGTTTGGGTAGAAGAGCAAAGACTGTTCAGGGCCATGGGCCATGCCTCCTCCTTGCTGCCCCTATGAAATGTGCAGCCAGACTGTCTGGATGCATCCCCACAGGGACAGCCGGCTCTCAGCACAGGCAGCCGGCTCTCAGCACAGGCTCCTCGCTGCCCCGTTAGGTCCCCATGAAGGAGAGATTGACAGAATGCCCAGTGCCACACGTGGAACTGTTTCTCATTTGAAAATCATATTATCTTCATCACATTTTACTATTCATGGTGTATTATTTTCAAATGGATCCCAATTTTAATTATCAATTTTAATTAACTGCACAGGACCTACAGGCCATAACCAGCATTACCAACCAAATCCACTTGGGATCAGTACTTTGTAAGAGTGTAGAGAGGTCAGGAGGGACGTCTGAGGCCTCCTAGGACCTGCCACTCCACTGATTCCAATCTGCCATTGACCTCTTTGCAAACAGAGCCAGGAAAGAGTGGTGCAAGTATTCCACACGGTTTGCTCTTGGGGCACTACATGAGCTCATGCTCCCTCTCACTGCACTGAGTTTTATGCCCGGCCTTGAGAGGGCTGTGGAAGCATCTACAGGTCAGGCCTGGGATATTGTGTCGACCTCTGGAGGCTCACTGTCCAATCCCATGCCAGGCTGAGGCTCAGAAAGCACCCCTGGTTCACCTCGAATTGGGGTGAAATGTTTCCAAGGGTAGGGGACAAGTGGGTTGGCTAAGAACAGCCAATGTGCCACCATGGTCATTATGTCTACCACATGTTTGCAGGTTAGTGTGACCACAGGAAGACAAAGCTGGTGTCTCAGTGTTGGAGGCTGGCCTGGACCCCTGTGCTCTGGCAGCTCTTTCAGTTACCCAGAGTTTATGGCCTGCTGGAAGCTACACGACAGAGGCCAAGTGAGAGGACCTCAGGCCCAGTGTTCCTCCTGAACAACAGGAGTTACAGCCACATCAGAGGGATCCAGCCTGCAGAAGCCATGATCCGTGCTCTGACCTACCAACAAGCCCACAGCAAGAGTAAGCAGGAGTTCACCTCCCACCAGAGAGAAGGTAACTGCAAAGGGCAGCACTCAGGGTTGCTATGCCAGGTGCAGGGCCAGGAGCATGGCCAGGTGCAGGGTCAGGAGCATGGCCAGGTGCAGGGTCAGGAGCATGGCCAGGTGCAGGGCCAGGAGCATGGCCAGGTGCAGGGCCAGGAGCATGGCCAGGTGCAGGGCCAGGAGCATGGCCAGGTGCAGGGCCAGGAGCATGGCCAGGTGCAGGGCCAGGAGCATGGCCAGGTGCAGCGCCAGGAGCATGGCTAGGTGCAGGGCCAGGAGCATGGCCAGGTGCATGGCCAGGTGCAGGGCCAGGTGCATGGCTAGGTGCATGGCCAGGAGCATGGCCAGGTGCAGGGCCAGGAGCATGGCCAGGTGCAGGGCCGGAGCATGGCTAGGTGCAGGGCCAGGAGCATGGCCAGGTGCAGGGCCAGGAGCATGGCCAGGTGCAGGGCCAGAAGCATGGCCAGGTGCATGGCCAGGTGCAGGGCCAGAAGCATGGCCAGGTGCAGGGCCAGGAGCATGGCCAGGTGCAGGGCCAGGAGCATGGCCAGGTGCAGGGTCAGGAGCATGGCCTGGGTGGGGTTTTCCAACAGCAATAAAGCAGCTACCCTGCTTCTACTTGATGTTGGAAACTAAACAGTCCTCCCCCAAATCTTCAGTTGCTCAAAGTTTCAGCAGTTTCTACAGCTGCTGCTATAACCATATCAACATTATCTTCTGCACTCACCTGACTTTATGGTTTCACGATTTACCCTTAAGCAGCAGCCTGTTTTTTGTGGTTGGAGTAAAAGGGCCTCTGGCCCTGGCAGACAGACTCAGCTAACCACCCACTTGTGAATGCTACAGAGGGGCAAGACTGCTGAGCTGCCTGCAGAGCTGGGACATCTATGCCTCAATCACAGCAGATGAGAAGCGTGTGACCGAACCCAGAGTCCTGTTCCTCTGTTCTCTGCAAGTCTTCGAGTGTGGTGTTTTGAGACATTTTGACACACAGATATGTGGAGGCTGTTAAAATGGGTTTCAGAGATCTGAGCACATGGCCAGCACGGCAAATTCTAGAATGTGATCTAGTATTGTTTTTCAGGAGCCTCTGGTATCAATTGCCTGGGGTGACAGAAACTCCTCAGAGTTAAGTAACAGTGTTCTGGGGTTCTGAGCAGGGACCCACGAACAGCCCTGGTTCCCATGTGTATCCAACACAGACATGTGCAGGTTAGATGAAGTCAAATTCCCAGGATGAGAGAGACCCGGACAAACTTCTTTAATGCCGCAGTCCATTAGCAATTAGCAGAGACTGAGATGGAAGCTGTTTTGTGGGTTTTATCCCTATTAAAATACATTAATGATATTTGAAGTGTTAATATGCTGCCGCTCTCTTTATTTGGACTGGAATATTTTTCTTTTCAAATTTTTCAACTGGCAAGATAATATGTGTGGAATTCAATAAAAGAGAGTGTTTGCTATTGGGGTTATTTTTAAACTTGTATTATTAGTTCCATTCCCTGAGTAGTCCTGGAAATAATTGTGTTGGATAGAAGAGGAGGGATTTTAAATAAAACAATCGCCCACTCCTGATACCTAGTGCATTAGGTACTCGAACACACTGGTCTGAACTGCACCCCAAAACCCACATCTCACCTTCCCTTTGATGCTGAGGCCACCAGTGTCATAGACGATACCCTTGCCCACCCAGGCAATGGTCTGCGTGGCCCCATCAGGGGTGTGGCTGAGGATGGCCAGAGCAGGCGGGTGGAGGGCAGCTTTGCCGACCCCATAGATTCCTGTGCAGGGAAAGGGAGAGGGTGAGGTGTATACTCCCCAGCGGAGACTTCCGGGGGCCTGCAAACTCTGGTGCTAGCTGGCCCACACTTCCCTGCAGAGCAACCCTGGATGGATCTCCCTTCCCCCTCCTGCTAGGGGCCAGTGTGGGATGGGGGAATGCAGACCCATTCCAACATCTAAGACTGCAAAGGATTGTTAGGCAAGAAAAACTCACTGAGGGAAAAAAATATTGTATTGTGCCCAGGAGGAAGAGAACAGGAGTACAGAGTGAGAGGCTTCCTGGATGATGCTTCAAGGCCTCTCCTGCCCACATGGGTCCCCCTACTCTGATCTTTGAGTCTTCCTTCTCCAGCCTGCTCCCACGGCCCTTGCAACACCACCTCCCTTGCTCACTGCTTACATGCTCCAACTTCCCAAAGAATGAGGAGCTTCTTGAGCACAGAGGCTACACAAGGTACCCTGCCCAAACACTTTCAACCATGACGAGGGTGAAAATGGCCATCTGAGAAACTCCTACTCATCAGGCAAGACCCACTGCAACTGCTAAATCCTGAGAGAAACTCCCTAACATAAAGGGCCTCTGCCTCAGTGGTCAATTGGTCCACGTGTGGGGTTGGCTAAAGCAACTGGCCGGCCCCCAATGACACCGCTCATAAGCATTTGGATCCTGCAATCCCCTTTCCCTTAGATGAGGTGGTCCTAGGGTCTCATCTGTAACAGCACTCAGAAGCAACAGGGCCTTCTCAGACTAGATGGACATCTTGCTTGGTCATGGTTCACAACTCTGTCCCCAGACACCTTGCTCTGAGGTAAACACTGGACACATTGTGACTAGCAGCTCCCCTCAGCCCCAAGTCTAGCCGGCACCCTGCAACAGCTTCTTTCCTGGAGTCTTCACACAGCTGTGGCCAGGAGAAACCCTAAGTCATCAGAGGGTTGTGACCAAGAGAGCTGCTTCCTGAGCCCGGAGGGACTTGGACCTTAGAAAGGACTTGTTTCATAGTCACAGACAACTGTGACAGTGACCTTTGCCTGCTCAGTCTAAAAGCCCCTCAAGACAGCCCAGTTTTTCCTCCAGTTCCTAAGTACAAAGAGATCAGAGAGGAGGTGGCTTTGAGAGAGACATGAAGGTCGTGACAGAGCCCACTGCATGGATATCACAGTAAAATATTCTATATGGAGAACACTATCCACTGAGATGCCAAAAACGGCCATGAATTTGTGTACTCCAGGAACAGAAGGCCCTGCTGAGCAGGCTCTGAGCAGGGGTGTGGAAGGCAGGAGGAGATCAGGCAGGAAAAGGACATGGGTCTAGTGGCTCCCAGGATCAGCATCAGAGCCTGGAAGGTTGCCCCTGTCTCCCTGAGGGATGCTCTGCCTCCCAGATCAGTCTTGGACTGGAACCAAGGTTGATTCCCTTCAGGTCCAAGCAGTATGAAACTTGGGACCCTGTACCAAATGTCCCCACTGCTAGCCCTGCCACCTGGGGTCCCCCAGCCTCTCTTGAAGGGTAACAGCTGTGGGAGGGCAACTCTACGCACCTCCAAATCCTCTGGTCTTCAGCTGCTCATCCCGGATGATGGTGGGGGTGATCCCCAGCTCCTTTGCAACTTGAGTAATCTCCTGGACATATTCACGGAAAAACGACATGAGACACGAGAAGAAGGCTTGAGTCAAGGCAAGGTTGGGACTCATGCCAAAGAGGAGTCTGTCCATGGCTTCGCGATGGGAAAGGAGCCACTCAGAGGCCAGTGGCTGCACCTCTCATGATTAAGTCTGGGGGGAAGGCTGGCCCTGCATATTCAGCTTCCTGCAGCTGGTGGTCCCCGTCCTACAGACAGACCCAGCGAGGCTCCATCCTACCCTTGCACTCAGCTGAGGATGCTGACCTTTTGGAGAAAGATGGACTCTAGAATTTGATGGAAACAACACGGGGATTTCTGGGCACAGAAAGCACCAACTTCAGGCTTCCTTGGCCTCTCCTTGTGGTCAGATGCCCCTCTCCCCACGTCAGCTTGTCCCTCTTCTAGAAGGAGAAGGCCACAAACCTCAAGGAAGATGTCTGTGTTCATCTCATTGCACGGTGTGTCCACAATGCGGGCAGCTAGCCGTACAGCTTCTCCGGCATTGGTCAAACACTAGGAAAAAAGAAAGTTCACCACTGGGACCCGGGGACAGGGTGGGAAGTTCCCCAGGGACCAAAGACCTCAAAGACCTAAGACTCTAGGAGAACGCAGCGGGCTGCTCACAGCCATGGAGGGAGCAGGTGGGAACAGGAACTTTGGAGACCACCCCAGGGTGTTGAGGGGTGCTTCCCATGAGTCCCCTGGAGGCACAGAGGTCTACCACCCTGTCTTCTTTGTCACTGAATGGCCTACTGGGGCACGGCTGTGGAAGGAACCGGACCAAGCTCAGTCTTAGGGAACTCATGAGTCTCAGAAGACCAAGGAAAAGACAGAAATCTGAGATCACGGACCCCCGCCAGACCTCTGGTCCTGTGCCAAGAAGGACAACTCAGAGACAGGCCAACAGTGACTGAAGATGCTAGGTGTGTTGAGAGAAGTGTGGTCCCATGTGTCTGCCGAGCCAGCACAGCCCTAGACCCCTGCCTGCCCACCTTTCTCTGCCATAGGGCCTTCCTCTTAGCTGACTTGAGCATACCTCTACCTTCATTTAATCTCATGTACCCAAAACCTCTGAAGCCAGGGACAGCTGGCTACGTCAGTGCCTCTGTGCTGGCCAGAAGAAACAGATATTAAGGGGCTTGCGGAGGCGCAGGGCAGCAGCTTGAAGTCCATCATCGCCTCCCCCGGACTTGTATGTCAGGAGGGCAGGCGCAGGTCGATTCTGCCAGCCGGCCACCGCCCCCGCTGTCTGATCATCACAAGAGCCACTGCCTGTCCCAGGTAATTAAACCTCGAAGGCTCCGAGTAGAGACCTGGGAGCTGACAGCTCAGATATGAGCTGTGCTTGTGAGGCCCCTTCCACCTGTCAGCAGGCGGCGGCCTGCGTGGGATGTGTGTTGGGCCGAGGACTGGCCTCAGGGGAGGCAGGGATGACCCTGGAGACCTCCACAGGCACAGAGCTCCACAAGGCAATGAGTGAGAATGAAGAGAATGAAAGCCTTAGTTTCTACATGACAAGAAAAGCAAAGTCCATTCGCTCTTCTGTACGTGTTTGCGTGAGGCCTGCTACATGTCAGGCAATGTGACAGACTCTCAGGTGACAGGAGGCAATGCCAGCAGAGACAAGAGTGAAGCAACAAGTTGAAGTCCACAGGACCCAGAGCTCTAGGACTGGGGGTTGAGGGGACACCTTACTGAGGAAAAGGAGGAGGCAGCACCGGGTGTCCAGACATGAACATGCCCGGCTAGTTGAGGGATGAGGGAGTCTGCTGTGGGAGGGTGGGAAGCAGTGAAGGGATGGAAACGGCCAGGGCCAGCAGTGTGCAGAAAGAAGGGAGGGCTCTGCTCCAGGCTAGGATCTGGAAGAAGGTGAGCCTGCAGCTGCAAAGGAACTCCCCAGAGACAGGGACAGACATGGTCTCAGTGGCCATTGCCAGGTGAAGTCCAAGGGCAGCTGACACCTCCCAGAGTGGAGGCAGTGAGGCCAATGGGGAAGAGAATGCAGGAGGATGAAGGCAGGTTGAGGAAGCAGCAGAGAGGCAGGGGCTTGAGAATTGGTGGGCATGCTTCCAGGAGGGATGGCCACACTGTGGCCATCAGAAACAGAGAAGGGGCCCAAACCAGGTTGGGTGGGTGGGTAGAGAAAGGAAGTTAAAACAAGCAAAGCCACCAGGCTGTTTTCAAGAACACACAAAGCTGATTCAAGATGGCAGAGGCAGACCCCACCTTCTCTCTAACTCTCCCAGAGAGACAGAGGACAAAACCCCCAAGTAGGGGCTGGCTTGGGGCTCAAGGTGACAGCCTTCCTGAAACCAAAGTGGAGGGACAAGCTGGTCTCTGGCTGTTGGGTGGGAGTGACGCCAAAGCAGTGGGCTTTGTGGGAAGGCAGCTCCACTGACTGACAGGTTGGGGATGGTTTCCGGCCTGCACAGGTTGACTTAGGCTTCAGTGAGATGACACACAATAAAGTGCTCCCCAACCAAGGGTCAAACAGTGCAGAACCAAAACACAACTGCACCAGGTGCTGAGCAGGTACTCAACAAAACAGAACAGGAACCCAACCACAGCACAACAGCAGCCTGCGGCAGAAGGGCCTGCTGCATTTTTGGGGAGCAAGGGAGGGGAAGAGTTCTCTCCACCTGAGCTCCCAGGGGGCAGTGTGCCCTCTAGACACCCACTTGCAAGGTGGACACTTCCACCGGGCCATTGTCTTGTCCCACCAGGAAGAATTCCACCACAACCGTCCTCTTCTCTGTGCGACGGGATGCCCCTGAGCGGAGTGTGAAGAGTGGGAAGGCCCGGGCCAGGGCACAGGCGGAGGCGAAAGCCTCAGGCTGTTCACAGACCATCTGTAGTGAGAGAGGAGGAGGGGGGGGTTGCTGAGGCTACAGCAGGATGCCACCGGGACTGTCCCAACACCAGCGCTACAGTGGACAAACCCAGAGGTCTGTGACCCACAGTAACCTGAGGCTACGTGAGAAAAGTGTCTGCCACCAGATGTTGTCTGCTCTTTCCCAGACACAGGAGCAAGGCACAGACCTAAGCCCAGGCCTCCATAAATCTAAGCTGGCCTCTCTGATTTGTCACGCGAACTGATCTGGTGTAAATCACTTTGTGGTTGAAGAGTTAGAATGGGAGGTCACATGGACCAGCACGCTCTGCCTGGGGTGGGCCACTGGCTTTCTGAGTACACTGAAGGGCCAGCACAGTGGGGCCCTTGCTCAGCACTCACCAGGATACACCGGTGGGTTCCAGGTGGCAGGCAGGTTCGCACAAGCCTGGTGATGAAGTGGGCGGCGGAAGGGCTGTTATGCCGGCTCACCCTGGAAGGCAGAGCTGCCACTGTGGCACAGTTCAGGTAGAGGGGACAGCTGTCCGTGGGGTTGGGGTTGAGCGTGGCCAGAGCTGCCTGCCAGAGCTAGATTAGAAAGGAGACGAGAGACGGGCTTCAGAACGTGTTGTGTCAGGAGATGCCCTACTGGCCACGCCTGCTTGTCTACGGCCCTCTGGCCCTTCCACCCTCGTGGGACTGCACCTCGAGCTGGCAAGGCCTGTCTGGGGACCCTCTGCTTCAAACACTTGGAAGCCCGGCTCCTGGGCCTTGGCCAGTTTCCACGGAAGCGGGTCTCGAGGCCAGAGGCCACGCGAAAGGCTGCCACTGGGTTTTCTGGAAGGCCAGGCCCGGCGGCGGCGGCACCAGGTGGCTCGGCCTGGGCAGGCCGGCGACACAGGCCGGGCCTCGCAAGGCCAGGGCCTTCGGGACAGGCGGCCTGGCCTGTGTCGGGCCTGCGCCCAGGGCCCGGCGGGGCGCGCGGGCTAGGCGGGGCCTGTGTCGCGGGGCCTGGGCTTGGCGGGCGCATGGCGGCCGCGGCCCGCTCACCTCCTCGGTGACCCGGGGCTGCAGCTTCCCGCGGACGTGGCTCCAGGGCACGCGGTGCAGGTGTTGCAGCTGGCCCAGCAACAGCAGGGGCCGGCTCTGGGGGTCAGCGTCCCCGGCGCTCGCCTGGAACTGCAACCCCACGCTCGCCATCTCCCGCCCCCCGCGCGCCCCCGGCCCGGCCGCCCAGCACCCTGCGCCCCGCTCCGGCCCCGCTCCGGCCCCGGCTCGGCGCCGCCCCGGCCCGCCCGGCCTCGGCGCCCCGCCTTCGCCGCCGCCGCTGGGCCGCGCCGCCCTGCAGGGCCCACCCGGGGCGCGAGGGGGCGCCGGCGGAGGCGGGGCGCGGGCCGCACTGCGCCTTCCGGGCCACCGTTGGGGTCGAGTGGCGCGCGAGCCCCTGGAACCGCTCCAGCTCTAGCTCCTACCCAGGCCCGCCTTCCAGTAGGTTCCGGGACACGATGAAGCCTTCCATGCCAGGGGCGGCCGTGGCTACTGGGCCAGACAATTAGGCATTTTCAGGTTACCCCCTTTTTCAGCGTAGGCCGCCTCCTCAGCCTAACCCTTGGCAGAAAGGTCACCGAGCAGCAGTGCGAGCAAGCTGCCCCTACAGCCTGCACTTGGTCACCTATGTGAAGAAAAGTTAGCAGTGTGGGGACGTTATGGGAAGTCATTAGAAAGGAGCCAACACTGCCCAGGTCTTGACTGCTCCAGGCATGGTGCTGGCACCCCTCAGTGACCTCCAGTCTTATATGTCGCTCTTGATCTGAATTTTTTCTTTAATAACCGTCTTTACAAGTAGCAACACGAGATGGCTCAGCGAGAAAAAGACCTGAGTTCTAACCCTGTATCTAGAAGGAGCAAACCAACGTCCATAAGTTATCCATTGACCAAGAGGCACCCACTCACACCCACAACCACACACACACACACACACACACACACACACACACAGAGGCAGAGAGAGACAGAGACAGAGATAGACAGAGAGAGATAGAAAACTACATAAATAAAAAATTAACCTAGTCAAGCCAGATTCATAGCATAGCATTCCATACCACCTGCCTTGCTGTCACCACCCACAAGCCACCTGTGGTGTCCTCCCTCAGGTTTGAAGGGTTCTGTGGCAACACACAGGTCAGAGCAGGCCAGCCCTAAAGACAGGCATGGCAGGGACACCACAAAATAGTAGCTAAATAAGCAGAGGGAATTCCTTTGAAACATTAGCTTGCCTGACACAAGAGTCAACGCTAATTGGATCTTATTTTCTTGAAAAAGATTTTTTTTACAGCAACTGAATGTTTTCACACATTTGTAAAGGGTACTAAGTGTTCCTCGAAGATCTATCCTGATTTTAAGGTGTTTGCAAATACAGTGTGAGGCACAAGGCACTCAGGAGGGGCCAAGACAACTTGCAATCTACCTAGAGGGTGGCAGGATCAAGCTGATCCTTGTGAGCAAAGTAGGACTTCCCAGGCCAGTTCACAGCAAGATGTTCCCAGGAATGACACTGGGGGTGGGGGGGTGGGGTGGACAGACAGGATGACAGAGAGTGAAGAATGGGAGCCTGGAGGTAAGCAGGGAATCTACTCACTTTACAGATACTACAGACCATAAAGAGATCCAAGAAGCATTTCCGAGGGGTTGGGAGATGGGTTGGTGTAGGAAGTATTTGCCATGCAGGCATAAGGGTCTGCGTTTGAATGCCCAGTACTCATGTAAAAAGATGGGCTGTGACCCCAGCACTGAGGAGGCAGAGGCTGGAGGATCCCTGGAGCTCACTGACCAGCTAGTCTTACCTAACTGGTTAACTTCAGGTTCAGTGAGAGACACTGCCTCAAAAAGAAAGGTGGGGTCTGTGGATAAGGCGCTTGTCGACAAGCCAAGCCTGATGACCTGAGTTTAATTCTCAGTTCCCTCATGGGAAGGAGAGGACCAACTCAGATGGGTTGTCTTGGACCTCCATGAGTACTGTGTCACACTCAAGCAAAAACACAAACACAAAATAAATATATAAGTAACTGTAAAGACAAAAATCTGCCCAAAAACCAAACAAAAACAAAGATGGAGATTCACTAAGGAAAGACACGTAAAGTCAGCCTTTGACCTCTACATGTACACACACACACACACACACACACACACACACACACATACACACACACACACACACACACACACACACACACACACACACACACACACACACCAGCATTTCAGACAGCAGGGCCTGGCAGCCTTGTGACTGCCAGGGAGTTGAAGGAGGAGAGAGGCTACTCACAGGTCATCTGGAACACTTTCAGAACCCGCCCCCCAACCCCCCCCCCCCGGAATTCATGAATAGAGGAAATGACCTCTGTGAACCACAAAGATGAATGAGGTGGGTCAGTTCAGCCAACATTTATTGAAAACTTACTACACACAGATCAAGGGGGGAGTTAGATGTTTCATATGAACAAGGATTCTTGATTCCTTATTTTATGCCACCCCCACCCCCGAAATCAAAGAAATCCAAACCAAACAAAACATTCCACTTTGGATGCCTACAGATTTCTTCAAGACAACACATGTGACAGATACAAGTTAAGTTTCAGGAAACCACTTCCCCTCTCCCAGCAGACTTCACAGACACTAGCATAAATAAGACAGGGCACTTGGTTTAGATACATTTTTATGAAGGTGTTAATCCACGGCTCGGGATACACCTCCCTGTCAAGGAAAAATTCAACTTCTACTTACTATTATTATTTTTTTTTTCTGAAAACAAATGGCCAGACCCTGCAACCCAAGAGTTTGCAACTTACAATTTTGATGACTTGAAACCAATTCCACACCCGGGCATTCAGCCGCAGTGCAGAAACAGCCGAAAAGTTCAGAGGCTTCTGGAAGAAAGCAGAGTAGAGTTCTCAGCAGTTGCTAAGTCACATTCCGGGACATGTCCGTTTAGACTCACTGATCCACAGATTTTCTCAATGCTCGTTTCTGGCATCTTCACTTCCCTGTCATGTACACAGTCACATATTTATTTTGGTGCTGGAGACTGAGCCCCAGGGTCTCAGCATGCTAGGCAAGCGCTCTGCCACTGAAACACATCCCTAGATTCATTTTTCATTTTGAGACAGAGTCTCAATATGTCACTAGACAGGTCTTAAACTCATCTCTAGCCTAGGCTGGCCTTGAACTTGCAATCCTCCTGCCTCCGCCTCCTCAGTCCAACAGCAAACATCAGTTTTGAACAGTTCTAGGCCGTTACCTCCAAAGAGAACACTAGTGTGTGAAAGCTGCTGAAGGGTGTGGATGGGAGGTGTCACACAGCCACAAAATCCAGACACCTAGTTGCTGGGACAGGACTGAGCAGGGAAGGCCCTGTGGCCTGGGACAGACCTTTGGCTTGGGTCTTGAGGGATGAACTGAAGTTTGCTGGCAGTCTGATCCTGCTTCAGGAAGTAACTGTTCATAGGGTGCCCTGGGGTGGTAAAGGACACAGTCCACTTGGGACATCTGAACTCACATGGCTGGACCCAATATGTGCCCAAGATAATACTCAGCCATAGGGCTGTGCTTGTCCTTGTACACCGACCAGTAGGAAGTACCTCAGCTAGGACTCAAGTAAGATAAGAGCACACTGATTGCTGTTGGCAGTGATCTACGTTAGCATGAAGGAAGTGGAAGCCAGCTTCTGGTCTGCTGGTCCCCACTCTATGACACTTTCCTGAAGCTACTAGCCTAGAAGGGAGCCCAGACCAGCAAAGACTGGAATGTTTACGTGACCTCCCTGAGTGCTGCTTCAGGCTGTGATGTCTGTCTTGCTTCTCTACACCATGTCCTGAGTTCCCTAAGATGAGGAAATGCCTTGGCTACATTCTGTAACCGGTGGTACCAGACGGTTCACTTCTGCTCACACCAGAGTCCCCTGAAGAAAGAGGAGCTCACTGTTGTGGAAAACACATTTCTCTAGAATATTAAAAAAACAAAAACAAAAACCTTCACTAACTATGGAAAGTTAAAAAACTAGTACAATGAAAACACTTTTGTGCCCTTCAGCAAGACTATGTATGTTTATAATCTGTACAGCCATGTGTACATATATGTGAGCATATTCTTTCCTGCACTGTTTCAAGCAGATTGCACGCACTTATCCCTGTGAACCTGAGGCTGTGTCTTGAGAACAAGGACACTGGTTGGACCATGTCATCCCAGCAACGGCCATTCAGACCCACTGCAGAGTCACCAACAGTGTCCTCTAGCACCGTCTTCCTCGTTGTCCTCAGACATCCTCTGTGGCTTTTACCTTTAACATCCAGAATCCAAGCAAGGATCAGGCGTTCCATTTGGCTGTCAGATTCTCTAGTCTCCCTGAATCCCGAATAATCCCTGTTCTGTCTCTCACAAGGCGGCTGTGTCACGTAAAAGGCCTTCCAGTTTGCATCTGTCTGCCTCCTCACGATTAGATTTGTGTTAAAATTGTTTGGCAAAAACCTCTTTATGCTTTCCACTGTCCCTCATGAGGAGGTACAGGATCTAAGTGTCGATTACATTTGGTTTAAGTGGGGTCTGAGGGATTTCTTCATGGTCAAAGTATAGTTTCCCTTTATAAATGATAGAATTAAAAGGCAATGTCTGCTTTACAAACCAAGTTCTGCTATTCATAACCTCCATTTCTGTCATCCATTTTTATAAAAAAATGTTTTGGAGACAGGGACTCATATAGCCTAGGATGTTCTTGAACTCATTCATGTACCTGAAGTTGACCTTGAACTTGTGATCCTCTTGCCTGTTCTCCTAGGATTGCTAGGAGTGCTGGTGCGTGCCATTATCAGCTGGGAATAAACTCAGGGCTTCATGCATGATAGGCAAGCACTCGATCGACTGGACCACATTCCCAGTCTTTACCTCCCTCATGCAGTAGCAGCAGCCACAAAGGGCTCTGGCTCGCACTGGCCTCGTTTCCTCAGGAGAGACGAAAGAAACTAACCATGATGTTACTGTTAATTTGGTGTTCTGAACCCAGGCACCAGAACAGACATTTGTTTTCACCCACTGTGAAGGGTACAGTGTCTCCCCTGCTAGAACCTTTCTCTTTTCCTCATGGGGAAACTGCGCCCCCCTCGCAGGGCTGGGGGGACACTCTGGGGCTGGTGTTCAGTGTCTTCAGTGTCAGTGGAGATCCAGCCCTAATC